GGGGGTGGGTTGGGGTTGTTGGGAGGATTGAGTCTCCCTTGTGTATGGTGTATGGTGTACGGTGTACGGTGTACGGTGTTGGGTTGGGCTGGGTTGGGTAAACGGGGCCATAGGCTAGGACACGTACTGACTCGCTTGTCCCGTGAGGGACCGGCGTGCTTGCGCTTGGCCATTGCGCTTGTCGTTGAGAATTGTCTGTTGGTGGTGGTGCTGAGGCTGGGGCTGTTGCTGCTGCTGCTGCTGTTGCTGCCATTGAGCCGGGTGAGAGCGGCGGCGGCGGCCGGGCGGGAGGCAGTCTGCGACAGGGGGATGCGGAAGACGTTCGCCAGGGAGGCGAGAACCGGGGAGAGTGTTGTTCGCATCTTGCGTGGCTGGAGGCAGGGTGGTGCCGTGATGTTGAGGACGGGAGTGAAGGGAAATTGTTTCGGGGAAGAAAGTATCTCGCCCGGCGGAAAGTTTGGGGGCTGCGGTGCGGTGGCCAGCCGCGCGCTTAGGTGGATGATTAAGCGCCCCGTCCCCGGGGCTCTGGTTTGTCGATGAACTGTATATGTACTTAACTATGTGCAACAGACTGGGTGAGGTAAAACGCTCTACAGTTTTTAGGCATAAGGGGGATCGTATGTTAATTGCTGATTGCTAAGTGCTTCCTGCTTATTGCTAAGTGCATCCTTGAAAATATGTGCCCGCCTTTTTGTCCAAACAACGTGGAGTCGGAGAGTCGCAAACGAAACGAAAAAAAGTGTATCATGAATAATCATCCCATTCGCCACAACAAAACGCCTCAGAAAATGCAAGTTCCAACAGTCGTGCTGCGTACTATAAGCCTAAGTGCTGTTGTTTGCCCTGCTGCTCGCCCGGAGATGCTTCTTGGATCGGTCGTAGTTGAGCACCTTGCGACGACGATGGGACTGCGCCAACTTCCACCGACAGTAGAGCACCAGGGCATCCTTCAGGAGCACAAACACGCAGCCTCCAACGACGCTGCGGCCCCAGCGCGTTTGCAAGAGCCCCGGTCGGCCCGCCGTGGAAGGCGTTGTCCACGAGCTCGGCAGCACATGTCGGAGCAACCCTCCCATCGACGCGGAGATGGCCGGTAAAGCCAGAGCCCCGAGAACTAGATCGGCCAGGTTCGTCGTCTCAGCAACCGCATCATCCCGCCGGCCCAGGCCCAGTCCCTGCCCTGCTGCTGCTGCGCCGCCGCCGTTATTCTGCGGACCTTGCAGCTGTTGTCCATCTGCACCTCGTCCACCGTTGAACCCAAACAATCCCCGGGCCCCGTCCTCGTCCCCTCTCATTCCCACCTGCAACTCGAAGTCGAACTCCATCAGCACCGGTCCGTTGCCATCATCCACCGGTTCCGCTTCATCGGGGATCGGCTCCGGATGGTTCGGCGGCGCATTGTCATCGAGCTCGTTGATCTCCGAATCCCGCGGCTGCACCTCCTGGATCCACTTCTTCTCCAGCTTCCCGAACATCCGGTCATACAGCAGCGAATACAGGCGCTTGACGTATGGCAGCGCGGCGAATGTCGCCGCCGGCGTGGGCGGCCAGAGGTCCGTCGCGGCGGCCGGCTCGATGACCGGCGTGTGCGTGACCAGCAGCAGGAATGGGATCGCAGCAAGTAGACTCTCCGAGTAGCGCGTGCGGGTCAGGATCAGACACATGGGGATCAGGGGCAGGCCCAGGTTCACGCCGGCGTTCCACGACCCGTCGATCGACTCCTCCAGCAGATGGCGGGCCTCCTCGGCCCCGAACACAAAATACATCGAGTAGACGCCGTGCACGCAGCAGCCCGCCCACACCGTGCCGGCCAGCGTGAACACCATCCCCGGGAGCGCGAGCCGGCCGGCCACCCGCTCGCACAGCCGCACGACATCCACGATGTAGCTGCGCGGCCGCGACACCACGATCTCCGTCTTGCACTGCGGACAGACCATCTTCGCGCTGGAGATGTTGCGTTGGCGCGACCGCGGATTCTCCAGGTCCGCCAGCCAGTCGAGGAGGCACGCTTCGTGCGCGGTCAGCGCGCACGGGCACGGCGATCGCCACTCCGAGCTGAGCGGCGTGTCTTCCGTCTCGTCCGTGTAGCAGATCCAGCATTTGCGCGGTTCTTCGTCGTCGTGCATGGTTGATGACGATGGGTCGACCAGGGTGGATTGGTCCGCTGTCGGAGGTTCGGTCGTGACGGTCTCGTCGGAGGGAGGGGATTGGCTGGGGAGAAGCACCGGTTCATCGACGGCTCCGCTATCGCCGGGGGTCGCATTGGTGTCGCTTCTAGTATTTGTTGACTCGCTCGTCGTCGTCGTGGTCGTCGTCGTCGTCGTCGTGCTTTCAGTCTGGTGGGTTGATGTCATACCCGCGTCGGATAATCGGGCCCTGCCAGCGGCTGGAAAACCTGAAGCAGAGGCCATGGTGAGGTATCGGGACTATCTATGTAGGGAGATAGAGTGAAGATGGACAGTACGTTAGATCGGTGATCGCAGCATAGTGCGACGTGTGGGAAAATAAACAGAAAAGTTGGCGGTGGGGGAGGGGGGAAGAACTCGAGAGGCGGACAAGCAACCAGCCCTGACTAACTTAGCCCCAACTTCGGATAAGAACCGCGGCTGTGAAGATTGCCAAAAATGGACTTGGACCTCCCAACTGCCTGCACGTGATATGCCTCAGGCTCCCGAAAATACGAACATACCCTAACTACTGTATGTGCTCTTACTTCTCTCGGCTTTGTCTTCACCCCGGAACAGATTCCTTTTCAATGCCTCCATGGTATTTCCAAGTCATAAAGATTACAGCAGCAAAAGGATTATATACAAGTGAGGTTCCGCAAGAACTAACGAGGCAACTTTTTCTGGCAAACCATAATGCGATTGAGAACATGCCCAGAAAAGAAAAGGAAGACTTTGGCGGTCGTCGAGCCACACAGAGGAGCAACTGCATTCTCCGTGGGGTACTCGATCACGCCCTAGTGAACGATGCTGCTTTACTGTCGTTCACGGTCCCCGGCTCCAAGCGAGTCGGGTGATCGGTGTCGGGTAGGCGCAGAATGGCACCCGCGAGCGTTTTTAGAACCTGCCAGAAACGCCGTGGATATCAACAGATCATGGGTCGAGGGCACTTTTGCAAGAAGAAAACTAAGATCGTCGTAACGCTTCGCTGGAATCAGCTCCGTCGCTTACATGGGAGCACCACGCTTGCGCATGAGGGCCTTCCTGTCCTTCTCCTTGGCTGCAAAGTCATGGATTTCAGCGTTTGTAGCATGTTGACCGGGGAAATAATAGCATACCTTCGTCGTAAACAAGGAACTCGTGCAGAGCGCAACCGGCCGGCACCATAGGCAGGACAGGCACCTTGCGGTCGGTGATCACCTCCAGGAGAGCGGGGCCATCGTGCTCAATCAGCCACTTGAGCTTGGCCTCGACCTCAGAGGGCTTGGAGCACCGCTGAGCGGCAACACCCATAGCCTCGGCCAAGGGGACGAAGTTGGGGTTCTTCTGGTGGGTGTGGGAGTAGCGGTCCTCGTAGAACAGGTTCTGCCACTGCGTAACCATACCCTGCTCATCGTTGTTCAAGAGCAGGACCTTAACACCGATGTTGAACTGGTTGGCAGTAGACAGCTCAGTGAGGGTCATGTTGAAGGAAGCGTCACCGTCAATGTCAACGACGAGAGCGTCGGGGCGAGCGACCTTAGCACCGATAGCGGCGGGAAGACCGTAGCCCATGGTACCGAGACCACCAGAGGTGATCATGGTACGAGGCTGGCGCCAGCGGAAGTGCTGGGCAGCCCACATCTGATGCTGACCAACGCCGGTCGTGATGACAGTCTTATCCTTCATGTGAGCAGTCAGGTCACTGAGCTTCTCGATCACAGCCTGGGGCTTGATTGGGCCCTCTTCGGTCTGCTTCTCGTACAAGGAGAAGGGGAACCGAGCCTTCCAGTCGTTGATCTGCTCAAACCACTCCTTGCGCTCGGGCACAGCTTCAATCTGGGGAAGGAGGAGGCGGATGTTGTCCGCACAGTCACCCTCAACAGCTTCGTTGGCCTGGACCACCTTGTTGATGTTCTTGGGCATGATTTCGAAGTGCACAATACCACCGCGGTTCTCAGCGGCGGCCAGCTTAGCCTGGGGAGCGAACTTGGAGATGTTACCAGTGACACGGTCATCGAAACGAGCACCAATGGCGATGATCAAATCAGCCTCCTGCATGGCCATGTTTGCATAAGCCGAACCGTGCATACCCAGCATGTGCAGGGCCTTGGGGTCCAATTCGTCGAATCCACCCAGACCCTGAAGAGTAGTAGTGACAGGAATGCAGGCCTTGTCAGCCAGCTCCTTCAGAACCTCCGGGCCATCAGGGCGAGCGAGCAGACCCTGACCAACGTACAGGACGGGCTTCTTGGCCATGTTGACCAGGCGGGCGACGCGACCGATGGTGCCTTTGAGCTGCTGCATGCTCACTTCGCGGGCAGCCACGCTTGCAGCGCTGGGCAGAGCCGGAAGGGTGCTGTTCATGGGAATAGACTTGCGGAGAATGCCGGCGGTGATATCCTTGGGCAGGTCGACGAGGACAGGTCCGGGGCGGCCACTGGTGGCAATTTCGAAAGCCTCCTGGATACGGCGAGGGAGTTCGGCAACAGACTTGACCATCACATTCCACTTGGTGCAAGCGCGGGAGATTCCAATCACATCGGCTTCCTGAAAAGAGTCGGTTCCGATCAGGCTAGTCGGGACCTGACCACAAAAGACAACCATGGGAGTTCCGTCCGAGAGAGCGTCCTGCATCGGGGTAATCACGTTGGTGGCACCGGGGCCGGAAGTGACAAGGACGACACCGGGCTTGCCAGAGGCACGGGCATAACCCTCAGCCATGTGTCCAGCGCCCTGCTCATGTTTGGGGAGAATGAAGTCGAAGTGCTTGGAGTTGTAGATGGCATCGAAAACGGGAAGAATGGCACCTCCAGGGTAGCCGACTATCGACAGTGGGTCAATCCTGATAATTCACCGAGAAGGGGGAAAGAAGGCGTGACTCACAGACGTGCTTGACGCCAAGACGCAGCATCATCTCGTGGAAAATCTCACCACCGCTGAGACCGACGAAACTGTGTGGGCACAAAGGGCCCGGTCAGCGCCATAATCGCAGTGAAGGGGGACCGGTGGGAATAACGTACGAGTCGTCCAGCTCGGGAGCCTGGCGGTTCTGGAGTGGCGAGACTTCATTGCGGTGAGGTTCTTGGTTGAACGCAGGGCTGGGGATGGGTCTCGAATTCCTGCGCAATTGAGAAACGAATTAGTATTGCGAATTGTACTGGGAGCAGGAACCCCGAATGCAACTGGGGGTGATAGGGGGGGGGAGAAACACATACGAGGCCGTGGCGGCAGCAGTGCTCTGGGTTCTTTTCTGTGTCGCAGCGAAGCGGTGGGGCGAGGCAGCGGCAGTGGTAAAAGTCCTTCGGCCAGAGGTGAGGTATCTCTGATAATGCAGAGTGCGCAGGGCGCTTTTTGACGGTCTCAAGGGCATCATCTTGACGGCGGATGAGTGCCAAACCGGGTGGAAATAAAGATTGAGAGACGAAGCTCACAACGAAGAATGGAAAAACGGGGAAAAGAGAGGAAGAGGAAGCGTAACCTTAAGGCAAGGGCAAGAGAGCGAGAAAGACTCAGACTTGCCTAAGTCGGGGATCGCCCATCTTTGCCTCCTAACCTGTTCGGGGTTTAGTGCCGGCACCAGCCCATAATCTGGGGCTCCTCATTGGTTTCGAACCGGCCCGGGGCTCCGATCATCGGCCTCCTTCTTCAACCCAAGAGGCAGTTGGAAGTAAAAGCCTAGAGTAAGCATGGAGTAAATCCCTCTAAGTTATTGACTGTTGGTATAGTCTCGCCTCTGATCTAGATCACTTCTTTCTCGCACTTACACATCCTGTTAGCCAGGGAAAGCAATGACTTGATCGGGTACCTGCGTTGTAGTCAACCTTGACAGGAGTGGCAATCCTGTCGGCAATCAAGCTGGGAATGTCACATGAATGCAAGTACTGTACTAGGTCGCTATGACCATGGTAGAAGCCCTGAGATCTGAGATGGCTGCACGATGATGATGGTGATGGTGACGACGACAGCAGATTACACCTCCTCATCTAGACAATAGTCACATTCAGAAGCCTATTCATCTCCTGTGGATTCCTTTTCCGTTCAGAAGCATGCAATGGATGTTTGAACTCCTTCGGCCGCAGCATGCATCGACGCCCAAGACATCTTCACACGCAGGTTGCAAGAACTCAGCATGCTCACGAAGATTCCTTGCAGTCTTCTGCGCTCTATGTATATACACTCCACTGTTCGTTTTGCATTCATCTTTCCAATATATCTAGCCGCATATGGAATGTATACACACGTTGTGCTAGTATGCCCATCTCAGTTGGTAATGGAAGTATACCTTCCGACCATTACTCGGCTATGGTACTGTATCATTTTATCTCTGTAAACTGTATGCAGTCTTCCATGATCCAAATCATGGTTTCTGGCTATCATGCACAGCAAGATATATACCAATGTGATCGCAACACTAGAAGAGCATAATCGATCATGGGATAGGGCTCGCGACTACCCGATCGTATATAACGAGGATGAACTATATCACAAAACCACCGGAACAACCATCCAGAGACCTTTATGAGTAATAACCCATACTCTCTTAATTTATTGCCATAACGCAGCATAAACAGATAGTCTTCTTTTCTGGCATTCTATGACTGACTAAGCAGAATATGAGCCCGAGTGTGGATATATATAAAGCTTCCGACCCTAACTATTCAGAAGGCTAGGACCATTCAGCTGCTAGTCTTCACTAAGTAACGAATCATACAGTACATTCCCCTACTATGTATTTTGAGAAGCGAATCCATACAATAGACACGAACATCGTTGACAAAGAACCAGGGAGTTCACACAGCATGTACCATCTGGCTGGAGAACTATTTAACAGGCCAATTCTAGGAGAACATACTCCAGAGTGGCAAACAATCGTGAAAATCCTCCGAACATGCATTGTTAGCGGCTTGAAGGATGTGTTCGATGACAGACCTAGAAAAGGTGTTGGATAGTCATGCAATAGAAACTGCTGAGAGGTTGCCTGTAGCTCAAGTACCAAGCTTAAAGAGAAAGGTTCTCATGGAGGAGTCAAATAAACATCAGAGGAGAACAACCTCCAGGTGTTAGGACTCCTTCATAATGAGTCACGGACAATGCTAAGCAAATCATGACCAAAATACAACACTCATCAAGACGTATCCGGGACCGGTCAAAGGGGTATCTAATATTATTATCTTGTTTCTATTCTTTTCTCGTGTTGACGATGCAGAGGGTTCTTGTTTCTTCTCTCCTGATTCTGGTTCAATTCGCTCAGATGATGTCCAATTCATCGTCGTCGTCATCATGATCGTTCGTGAATACCATTTCTAACTTCCCGCCCAAACTGTCCCTCCCAGCTTCCTTGATACCATGAGAGGTGATGAACCGAGTTTTCTTGACGGCACTGCTGCCGTGCGATCTGTCGCTGCCACCGCCGTCATGTGCGCGTTTCAAAGGGCTGAGGTTGACGGCTGCTGCTTTGCGCAGACTGGCAAGACCAAGGGTAGCAACTGCGGAGCCCTTGTCGCCGGCCTTGCGTGATTGAATTTTGGATGCATCGCTGGGACGAGAAGCAGGAACAACATGGTCATTACCTCGAGCACGGAGGTACTCTGCCCCTACGCCGCTGGTCCGGGTGATGAGCTTTTCAGTGATATCTTTCTCGCGCTGTTTATCTGCAAGGCGCTTGCGGAATCGCTCTTCTTTGCTGTCTCTCCCACGTCCCATTCGACCTGCGGCGATGAAAGGGTCGTCCGTATCAGCATCGATCAGGCTAGCTGCAGACTGGCCCAGGGAATGCTGGTTACGGTGAACATTTCCACTACCCAGGCCACCTCTGTTGAAAGTCTTCGGCGCCGGCGCGACATAGAAAACGGACTGCGATCCGCTGTCATATTGAGCGCCGGTCGGCTTAAGTCCGTTTCGTGGCCCGGGTCGTTTCACGCCGTCATGACCGCCGCCCGCGAAGTAACCAGTACGGGAGCCAGAACGTCCGCCAGGCCCGTACATGCCTGGTCCATTGTTCACTCCCATCCGCCCAGCTTGGGTCTTGCGGACTTGCAGATCAACGTGAAAATCACAGAATTCAGTCTTGCGTCCATCAACCCATGCATGACACGTCTTGCCGTCTTTTCTGGTGGCTTTGCAGAATCCCAAGTCTTGAGCGTACCCGACTTCGAGAACGGTGTCGTCGGAGGAAGAGATAGCGAGGCTGAATCTGTTCGTATCCAGCTTGTTTTTGGGTGGTGGCATTATTGTAGGGTTCAAAATTGCAACTAGGATCCCCTCAGAGAGCCGGTAGTATCGCGGAAAGGCAGTCTCGAAAAGGAAAAGATCTATGGTCCATTTGAGGTCGGTCAGGGTGATGACCATGTATGAGTTGGTGTTGTTGAGACCGTCGTCGAAGGGATTGGCCTCCTTCTGTGAGACATTCTTGTTCGATTTGACCTGTCTGGGCTCGGACTTGGATGCTACAATGCCGAAAACCACGTAGTCTGTGTCGATGTCTTCCGGTAGTTCGAAGTTCGGTGCTTTGATGGTTCGAAGAAGATCTGGAATACGGAGAACCTTCTTGTCCTCGAGCGTCCGCGTGAGGAATGAATGGGGCAAAATCCGATTCGACAAGTGCAAGCCAGAGAATGCTTCAAATTTCGATGAATCACCACCGTTCTCGCCCTGGGAGTCATCCGTAGCGTTGTGCTGGGAGCTTCCCAGCAAAGAGGCATGTGCTTGAGATTCCGACTTAAGATTTCGCCTGTGCAAGTACGGTTTTGACTCCTTGTGTTCCGCATCGATGTCCTGAGGCCGTACACTGGGGAGGGTCTGGCTCCGTTTCAAGGATGGCTTGAGCTTGCCATAAGACCGCAGGACGTCTTCCCGACTGAAACTTTCGGTCTGCCTGCTGCGTACGGGTGACCGGGGGCTTTCGTCCTTCCTCGCTTCCGCAGCCGCTTTCAGCGCTTCGACTTCATTTTTGTCGATGTGAAACGCCGTGCTCCGGCTGGCTTGAATGCGTTCAGCCCGTTCAACTCGATCCTTCCGGGCCTTTTCCTCCGAGCGACTCTCGGCCATGCGCTCGCTGAAGCTCTTCGGGCGACCGTATTCATGATCCGCAGTGACTGTCTGCAGAAGCTTGTTCGAGTGTGAGACATAGCCGTCGCGACCAGTCGATGTCCTGTTGTCATTCGTCGCAAGTGACTGGCCAGTGCTTCGCGAACTTGGAGGTCGCTTCAGAGACACGTCCCTTGATTTGAGACCTTTGTCGATACCTAAGATATATCTCCGCGGGGATACTGGATCCGTCGGGGCCGTCGGCCGTCGTGTTGGTGAAAGCGGAACCTGCACATCGTCCAGAGAGGTGTCGTGTTGAATCCTCCGCTCGATTCTGCTTCGAGAGATGTGACTCTGTGACTGCGATGAGTAGCTCACTGCCGACGAAGGTCGGACAAGAGCATTGTCTCCGTCTTGTGCGGCGTGTGCTGGAGTTCCGGACTTTGCGCGACTCTTCTGAAGTTGTTTCAGCTTGAGGCGAGCCTCAATGGCGGCCAATTTCAGTTTCAATGTCTCCTCATCCTCGTCCTCATCTTCGTCGTCGTCGTCCATGCCGTCGCTCAGGAGCTGTGCTGCCTTGGATCGTAAATCGGGGGTCGTGACGGAGCGCTTCAATGGCGAGCCGGGGTTTCCCTGACGACGCTGCAGTTCTTCCAGGCGTTTGCGGCCACTCGGACTACTCAAAAGAGCCTCCCGCGGTGATTTTGGCGGCCATGGAATATCGACCACTGTGGCTCAATTGAATATTAGCACTATATCACGAGAGTGTGGCAGAAAGGCTGTACTCACTGCTGGTCATTAGCACACGCTAGCTATATAAATTGGAGAAAAACAATTGAGGGCAAGGGCGGTATGCAGTAAGAGGCGAAGAGGGTATTTAGCAATTGTTAGCCTCGTTGGCGACTGCTTGCCATGTTCAGACGAATGAAGGGATGCGGGGAAAAGACGATCGGAGCAGATGTGATTGTCGCGTAGTATCGAGTCGACTCAGTAAGAATACAGGTGTGGGTGTAGAACTCCCTCAACCACGGTCCATCTCCACTGACAACAACAACAAAGAAGAGACGAAGGGGGGCTGCAATGGGAGGCGACTAAACAAGAACATGCATAAGATGAAACGCAAGGGAAGGGAAGGGTCGAATGAACGAAGCAATGACATTCTGCCACTGCATTTCAACACTTCAGGTTCTCACGTTAACTTAAGTTGGAACTTAACTTTAACCGCCCGCCGCGGGCGGATTGTGAGTTTCTTTCTGATTGGTTGGCGCGCTGTCGCGTCGGCCGACCGAGAAGACGCGTTGAGCACTTCCGGGCTGCGCTTCAGATGACTTGAATCTACGGAGACAAAGTAAAGTACTCCTCTTCAACATCAAAAGCAATTCCGTGAATTCCGCAATGCTACCACTTGTCGCTACTTGAACACCTTCTCTGCGTCCCATCTCCCCCACAAAACCCTCCCCAATACTCGCAATGCCGCGCACTCGATCCTCCGCTCCCTCGGAGCCTCCGGCGCAATCGGCCTCAGCGTCTCCTCCATCATCAGAGTCCGAACAACAACCATCCAAACAGCCTTTAATCCCAACCAAGCCCAGCAAAACATTCATTCTACCCTCCACAGCCAGCTCCGAAGCCCGCTTTCTCACCCTCCCCAATCCCCAAACCAGCGAGCCCACCCGCTACTTCTTCTGCCCGCAACAGGGCGTCTACGAATTCACCACCATCACCACCGCCGCGCCCGCCGCACGAAGCATTCTCTGTGCGCGCAACAACTCCACACCGACCACCACAACGTCAGAAGATGACACCATTGAAGCCTCACCTCCCACCGCTCAAGAGCCAGCGCCGCGCTCGCCACCAGCCTTAATCTCCTCAACCGCATCCATCCACCTCGCCACACCCCTCGACTTCATCTTCTTCCTGATCCCCCTACTGACCACCGCCAAAGCCACGCTCTACCAACCCCTCGACGACATCATCGACTCCATCCAAGACGAACTGGCCCCGCACCTCCGCCACGTCCTCTACAACGAGACCTTCCGCGCGACGATCCACGCCCGCGCCGCCGCGATCTGCGATGCCGTCGACGCCGGCGGCGACGAGAAGCTGTTCCGCTTCAGCGAGAAGAAGCTCCTGATGGAGCTGATGACGAAAGCGGAGCGGATCCTCGCGGCCCACGGGGGCAGTCTGCCCCCGAGTCTGGAGGAGAGGTTTGTGCGGAGCGAGCTGGCGATGCCGTTGATGGGGGTGAAGAGCAGCAGCAGCAGCAGCAGCAGCAACACGTCTGCCGCGGTGACGGTCGAAGTGGTTGTTTCAGGCAACAGTGAAGAGAATAAAGAGAATGAACTCGCACCCCAGAAAAAGGAGGAGGCCCCGGTGGTGGCTGATGCGGATTCGACAACGACAGCCGTAAAATCAGAAGAGGAAGAGCTCCTTCCCGAAGGACCATCCACCCCCGATGGCGTGGCGGAGCTGCTGCGCATCTCGACCGCGTTGACCTTCATCAAGGAGTCGTACCTGTCCAGGGAGATGGGGGCCCGGATCGATGAGATGCTGGCGGCCCCGGACGCGCCCAGGGATTTCCGGCCCATGCGGGAGCATCTCGAGCTGGTTGCGAGATTGAGGAAGGAGGCCCTGGCGGCGAGGTCGCTGGGGGATTTCAGTCGGAAGCGCAGCGCTGAGGACGAAGAGGCGGCGGAATCGCGGGCGGAGAAGAAGAGGCGGCAGGAGGAAGAAGAGAAGAAGAAGAAGGCTGGTGAGTCGAGAGGTGTAAGAGACTTGAAAAAGGTCAATACCACGGGGATGAAGAAAATGAGTGATTTCTTCGGAAAAGCGGCAGCAAAAAAGAAGGCCTGACTTGGCTGTTAATTGGTTTCGTCTTGATGGCATTTGGAGGCGGGCGTTCACTGGATCGGAGAATCGGTGTATGTGATTCTGAGTCATTTAAAGAACGGTGTGCCGTGCTTGATGAAGATTGCATCATATGTAGAATCGGGAGGATGTAGAGATACTTGACCACGAAATACGAGAACGGCGGAGAATCGGATATGTTCATCGTTTGGTATTCAATTTGATTGGATATCTAAGGGGAGACCAAGACAGTACCTAGCACGTCCCTCAAGCTAAACTAATGATCTACCTAAGGTGAGTGAGAGTGAGCAGGAGAGCCCGAAAAGGCAGGGGGGGAGGGGAATCATAGACATCGTAGTAGCGATCAATGATTCGGTCCAAGTGCAAGAAGAGAATCGAGAAGAGAAGATAGAAAGGAGAACAACGCCAACCATATGTGCTTCGCCAAACCTAGCCAGTTCCATCCCGCTTGAACACGCATCCCATAGAACTACTATCCTCCCTAATCGCGAGTGTCGGTCTCATAATCATGTCGTTTGGTACGCGTTGTGTGAGCCAGACATCGGCAGGATAGTCGAATGCATCGATCGAAGTAAAGAAAGAGAAGAAAGAGCCTAGAACGCTAGAACACGCAGTGAGGTAAAGATCAGAAAAAGAAATTTGGAAGACAGATTCGGAAAACACCGTATGACTCCTTTGCTTGAGTTGGTAAGGTCGATAGAATTTGAGCTTCATCCTCAGTAAAATTAAGTCGGTCACCCCAGGCTTGTCATCATGATATCGACGTAGTTGCGCGATTGCCGCGGGTCTTCTTTGGAACGGGACCAGGACTGGCAGCAGCGTCCGCGTCACGTTTCTTGGCCTTGGTACCGACCATGGGGGGAGCTTGCTTGCTTCGAAGCCAGCCGTCGAAGGGACTAACGCGCTTCTTCTTGGTTTCGGAGCCCGAGGCAGACGGGGTTTCGCTCTTCTCTGTGCTATCTCGCTTGATTCGAGAGCGCAGGGAGCGTACTGTGCCACCGGGAGATGAAGGGGACGCTGTGGTAGTCCGTGGAGGAGGTGTGACAGACCGCTGCAGCATGTCGAGATCGAGGTCGGTATTGTCTGTCTCTTCAGCCTCAACGTCCAGTAAATGATCCTCAATGTCTGTAGCTGCTTCTTCGTCCGCTTCGCCGGTGCCATCCTGCTGTGCATCAGAAGCCGCAGAACGGAAGAGCACGCGGGGTTTGATTGATGAGCGAGTGAGAGATCGAAGTTTCGCGGTCACAGATTCATCGATAAGATCTGGACGAGCCGCCAGCAAGCCCAGGTCATCATCGTCTTCGTCCTCGCCACAGCTGTCAACGTCATCGGTGAACTTGCGGAACATTTTCTTGCCACGGCTGCGAAGTAGAGTTAGAACATATGACAGATACATCAGAATCAAGGTATGACTTACAATACGTAGACCATGCCATCTTCACGCCTGACTGACTCCTCGACTTCCTTATCACGGATCATCTCTTTGCGTCGGGAAGTGCGAGTGCCTGTGTTACTACTGGGCTTCTTGTAGAACGGGTTTCCTTCACTCTTATCCAACTCTGGGACACGATCGCGAGAATCGGTGTAGATCTTGATCTCTGTTCCGCTTTGGCCGAAATCCTCAGTGAAGCTATCTAGCGAAAACCCAGTATGTTTTTTGGGCTTCTTCCGGGAGCTGGAGCTGGGAGGCGGAGGAAAGAGAACTCTGGCGGTATTCCCAACATCTGCGACTGCCTTCTTCCGTGGCGTTTTTGCTGGTGTGGGAAGCATCCCTTCAGTGAGTGTGGGTCGGAGAAATTGTGGGGGACGAGTGTGGGAAGGCTCGGTGTTGAAAGGGTCGGAGTCGTCCAGAGTGGAGTGTGGTAGTGAATGTGCTCCAGTGAGCCGGCCCGATTTTTGCTTCCGAGGAGAACTTTGGATAGAGCCTGGTGGTGACAATGTTGCTGATTCCCGGGCGTTTTGCTTCTTCGGAAGCTTTGAGCTTGCGCGCGCAGGCGGAAAACTAGGCGGCGGCGTGGTCTGAGACTCTCTGGAAGCACGTTGACTGGCTAGTCTGGACGAAAAACGCGTAGAATAGGGCTCATATTGATCATATTTGGCACCATGTCGGGGGGTGGGAGGAATCCGTAGCGTGGACGGCGGCGGTGGTGTTGTCGCCATTCTGTGTGAGATACGTGTATCCTAGGTGACGATATATATCCTCAAACAATCCCAGCTCCAAGCCAACAGAGAACGATCGCTGAATCGTGATGTAATCGATTCCAAGAGAGTCGCAAAGGATGGGTGTTGTGCAAGGTCCGTTCCAAGCCGTGGTGCAAGCAATCCAAGGGAGACAAAGGGAGGAAAACGCGACGACCGGGAAGCCGACTGCTTCTCCAACGCGAGTAACCAAACCGGTCAAAACTGGACAGATAGGATCGGATGGGAGCGAAAGAATGGAGAATAGATGTGATAGTCGGAGTGGTGGTGATCGTGGAGGCGATAGTTGGGTAATTCAATGGTGATTGTGGTGGTGGTAGTGGTAGCAAAGTTAGTGATTGAATTGAATGAAGAAAGGATGGAAGTTGGTAAAGGGAAGAGAACTTGGTTGGCTGGTTGGAGGGGGGAAAGGCCGGTGGGCAGGCGGGTTTGGGCGCGAACTTGGAAGGGCGGAGCAACGCCCGTGGTTGTGGAATGCTCTTGTTTCCTTCCCAGCCACACCAACCCAACTCCCGTTTGACTCGACAACCTTCGATCGAGGCTTCAACAAATACCCTAGTCTATGATCAGTGGCTGAACACGCCCCACGATTACTCTCCGACGATCCGCGGCTTGTCATCTATCCATTGGTCTCTCACTGAGCTACGCGCTACAGACTTAATCAACTCGAGTTTATCCTTTATCGATCCGCCCCTCTCTGCAATTCCCACTTCCCCTCCGCCCATTTCCCCCTCCCCCTCCCCCTTCCCCTCCCCCTCCTTCTCAACAAAAAATCATGGCATTTCGCAGCACAGCAGATGATTTGAATCTGCAATTATCTGACGACAAATCTGATGATCTCTGGAGCTCGCCTTCCAAGCGTGGAAACAATCGGCATGCCTCCAAAGTGGTCAAGGAGGAGAGCTTGTCACCCGAACCAACAAAAATTCCTCCCCATGATGATGGAGAGACAATGTTTGACCGCCAAGAGGCGCGCGAAGCCGCTTTGCGCAGTGAGCTAGAGAGCGTTCGTAAGATCAATCAAGTCATTGAGGGTCTCCTCGGGAGCCTTGACCGTGCCAAAGGGAACATGGATGTGAGTGTGGTGTTACTGCGTCATTGTTTAGACCTATAGTCGTTAATTGTGGACTCATTGTAGACTGTTTCACGAACGCTCGATTCCGCTTCTACCCTCCTGAATACCTGGACTCGGATTCTCTCCCAAACCGAGCACAATCAGCGTTTGATTCTCAACCCGAACTGGCAAGGCGCAGTTCAAGATGTGGCCGACTCGGAACACGAGGAACTTCTCCGACAGCAGGCTGCCGAGAGACGCGAACGAGAGCTTCAACAACAGCGAGAAGCTGCTGCCCGCAAGGCTGCGGAAGACGAGAGAAAGAGAGCCGCCGCTGCCAGCGCCAGAGGCACCCGCGGGTCGAGTTATGGAAGAGTGCGCGGTGGCTTGGGAAGAACTCCTGGCATCTCATACTCGGGCACACGACCTGGTGCCACACGGACCACGGCGTCTTCAATCACAACGGGGAGACCGCCTACGACCAGTACGACACGTAGACCGGCCAGTGGGATTGCGAGGGGCTCGGGGATTGCGCGTGGTCGCGGCCGGGCCTAAAAATGGTAAATATGGCATGACGATTGCGGATGAGACATGTATAGTATGAGACCAATGTAGGAGGCACTAAGATACTGTGATTATGATGATACCCCTCATGAGAAGACAACTTTCGCAAATCCAATCACCACATGCACTTTCTCCGTAGTTAGCACATATCCATGATGTAAACAAAAGATGTCGCGGGGGGACGGATAAGGTTGCCTAAGGCACCAAACCACATCACCGCCCATACCAAGTTAATGTGAGATCCACTGCGATAAAGCTTCCATCGTCCCGATAAGCTTGCGCGACGTTGCCTGGATTGCAACTTGACTATGGACCCATCCTCCTCAACACCATGAATTTTGCCCCGTACCAGGACGAATCGCCAGAGGTGGAACGTGCATTCTCCCCCTCGCTGGGCGAGGCGCACCGTACAAGACCCTCCAATATCCAGTCCCCGCGCGGCTCTCCAGCCCCTGGTCTTGCATCCCCCGGCCTGCCATCCCCGAGTCACTTTGCCGGTGGTGCTGGTGCTGGTACAGGCAACGTCAACAACGCCAGCGGCCATGGAAACACTGGCTTCGGAAACGACCTCGAGGGCGGCCGGTTGAGCCTCGGCGCCTTCGACACCAGTCTCCCCATCCGCATGGACGTCGAAGCAATGCTGGCATATCTGCTTCTGCCTCCCGCCGGTGGTGTTTTTCTCCTTTTGGTGGAGCACAAGAGCGACTACGTACGGTATGTGCCAACCCCGACAGACATCATACCCTCGCGTCTTAGTCCTGCTGCTAACTGGGATATAGGTTCCACGCATGGCAATCGAGCATGCTCTTCACCGCCATGTTTGTAAGTTTTTCCTTGTCGTTGTTGTTGTTGGTTGCAAACCGGCACTCCAGCCATACGAGGCCATGGGCTCACCACTTTCCCAGATCATCCACCTTATCTGCTCCGGATCAAGCTTCCTATCCTGGCTGCTGTTCGTCGGCGATCTTGCGATGATCGGTTTCTTGAGCATGCGTGCTTATCGCGACGGTAGGGCTGCCCCCCTTCCCCCCCCCTCTCTCTCTTGTCGACCGGGTTTTGCGGTTATCACGCGCGCTGACATCGGTCACCCGCCCACAGTTGATACGCTCGATCACTTTGAGGTCCCTATCTTTGGCCGCCTGGCGAACTCCTTTGTCGATGACGAATGATACCAAACCTAATCTTAGTTTGTGGCGAACCCTTCAAGAGGTTGTCCATTCAATGCCCGCTAGATGGGAAGTCGGGTGCCGGGCCTGCATTTCCCTCTTAACTCTATTCATTCATCTCTTGGGAGGCTTCAGATGGAGTAAAGCTCGTTCCTTGTACAGTGTCGGGTCGAGAACATAATACATAACTACGTTCCAGCGCGCATAAACCTTAGCTTTCCAGTTTTACATGTGTATGCTGTATATGTTTATTCCATACGTTCATCCTGGTTTCTCCATCTTTGTTACCCCGATGGCCAGTTCTTGACACATCGTGGTTACGGGTTCACCTGCGTACACCGGGAATGATTGTGCAGGTAGAAGACCCCGGCCTAGGATCTATGAGGTAGGGACACGGGAGAACATGTACTGAACTTCGTAGCTTGCGGAAAGCTTCCGCGCTCAATCCTAGATTCAGACAATTTCATATTTGGGATAACAACATTACTCAACCGAGCCCCAAACCACAAGGAAAAGAAGGACAATCGCCATATCAATCTGACAAAGAGGTATCGCGAACTCATAAAAGGACCGACTTCCAAACGACAGGGCTTGCAAAGGACAGTAATAGTCGAGGGGCAGCAAAAGTAGGTAAAAGAGTGATTACATGGCTTGGGCGGCAAATGTGCTGGAAGAAGTAGAACCAGAAGGAAAAAAAAAAAGAAATTAGGCACAATCTGGTATCAATATCATGAACGCGTCAATTAGGATAAAGGTCACTGTCGGCTTGTAGGTGTATTGAAATGTTCATGAAATAGCAGGGGTATGGGTCATTGCATAAATCCAGAAGATTGCTGATACTAGATGATCTGTAGATAGTTGCTCGGCACCAATCCGGTTCGGCTTCGAGTGGTTGTGATTTCGGCTTCCCACCAGCCATCATCTTGCAGCCGGATGACGGAAAGCACATCGCCTTTGCTGAAGCCTAGTTCCTCAGGGATAGCGGCCGTGTAACTGTACATTGCTCGAGCTATAGATATGAGTGTTAGGAGGGCGCCTCGTCAAAAGGGCAGCGGAAAAGGAGGAGTCAGAACTTACCGAAATGTAAGATTGGTCTACCATCACGACTGAACTGTCTGCCAGGGTCGGCAACAGCCATTGACCTACTTCTCGACCGGCTGCGTACGCTGGCGTTGTCACCATAATATGACATGGGTCTGCCGCTGTCGCGCCGGGACGCATAGCCATCATTGCTGCCGCCGTACATGTCAGAGGGGCTGGACAGTTGTAGTTCCATACCTCCAGCACTGGAAGGACGAGCCTGCTGTCTGAACTGAGGCTGAGGTGACACAGCTCGTGGGGGTTGTCGAAACTGTGGCTGGGGTGAAACAGCTCGCGAAGCGGCCGCCGTGGGAGATTGACGATACTGAGGCTGGGGAGACACTGCTCGCGGCATACTTGTGGCCACAGAGCCGCGCCTAGAGCGGGGTGTAGCATCAACAGGGCGTTGAGGAGGTGTGGAAACGGTGGGAGACTGCGCATATCGGTTCTTCATGCTATTTGACTGGTACGAGCTCGGGCTCGGGCTTGCTGCTCGACTATACTGGCCCATGCGCGTATCCACGCGGGGAGGATTGACCTGAGGGCTGGCGCTTCGCCTGGGCGCCGGAGATTTAGCACGGGGAGCGTCCTGTGTTTGACCACTGTTACGCCTCGGAGCCTGGCTCGTGCCTCTAAGCATACTCTGGGTCTGTCCAGTATACCTCTGAGTTGTCTTTTGCATCTGGGCTGCAGTAAAAGCGGGCTGCGGTGCATCTAGACGCTTCAATGAAGAATCATTATAAGCTGGAGGAGGTGTTGCGACAGAGCCGGGGGTGGCTGTTGGTGCTGCGACCGGCGGCGGAACCGGCGTAGCGATACCGTGATATCTATCGGCTGAGACTCGAGTCGCTGACTGCTTTCCTGCGCCTTTCAAATCTGCTAAGGCTCGGGCAACAGGGTCTTGCTCCTCCTCTGGTTTCTTGCTCGCCTGTACTGTCTTCTTAGCATCCTTGTCTGGAGACTCCACATCGAACACGTTGTTGCCCACATTGAGCTGGAAATTAGCTCTCGGATCAACGGGCTCGGGGCTACCAGACACCCTGCCCGAGTCTGGGATGGATATAGGTTGTTGAGGCTGAGGAGCTTTGATCGGGCTTGCCTGCTTTGCTGGAGGCTCGTATGAACTGCGAGAGGGAGCCTGAGCTGGGCCCGAATGGCGGTCTTTATCGTGCCGACTCTTGCGACGGAAAGGACTATTGCTGAAGAACGCGCTTCGCTTCTTTTGAACCTGCTTATCCATGCCAGGAAGTGCGACGCCATTGGTCGGTTTGGTCGGAGATTGTCTTGCGCTTGAAGGTTCTTGGCTTGACATCGAAGTCGGATTTGACACCTCACTCTGAGAGTCACGACTCGACGGTCTATATGCGCTGTTTGTCCCTGAGCTGCGTTCGGAGGGAGGCCCCGTCCGGCAGAACATCGTCATGCCATCCGTAGGATAGGCGTTATGAGGTACAGTGCCGATCTCGCCGTGCTCATTAGGATCATAATTGGGCGGTAAGTACCCACCACGGCGAAGATCCAACGGAGCCGGTTGTTGCATAGGTGGAGGCTGCATTGGCTGCACCGGCTGCACCGGCAGCGGCTGCTGGATGGGCTGCTGGATGGGCTGCTGGATTGGCGGCTGGATTGGCGGCTGGATGGGCTGCTGGATGGGCTGCTGGATGGGCTGCTGCACTGGCTGTTGCATAGGCTGAGGATGTGGTTGCTGTCTGGCTTGCGGTGCCGGCTTCTGTGGAGTGACGGTAGCTTCCCTGCTTGTAGGAGACGGAGGCCTATTAATCTTGGCTGCGATCTCAGCATCCGGATCCATACTGGCGTCATAGGCTGAAGGCTGCGGGGATGAACTGCGGTAGGCTGGGTTGATCGTGCGTTGGAACTGGGCTACTGAGTAGCCTTCTTCCTCTGATGCTTCGGAGCTAGTGTCATCGATTCCACCCCGGCAGAAATTGATAAATCTTGGTGGATCTGGTATGTCCTGCCCAGTTCCTCTTTCTTTGATAAAGTTGATTATGTCTTTCTCCACCTCACAATCTTCTAAAGAAAGACGGATTTTCTCGCACGACTGCTTATGCATTAGTCGCTGAGCTGAGTACCCGCAGCAGTCCAAAGAAAACTTATAACTTACAGCATCGTCACTGACGCAAACTGTAGAAGCAATGTTTGCGTATGTCCAAAGACTGCTTTTGGTGAAATCGAGCCTCTCTTCCTCCAGGTCTTGAAATTTCTGGGATTGTGTCAGTCAAAGAAACTCTGAGCAGTCCAATGATCCTTACATCGCAGGCAGATTTCCACTCCTTGTTCCAACGGCCAGTTGTCTCTTCTAGTATCTTAATTGCGGCTTCGTACTCGCTGCTGCTGGATGCTAATTGAATCTGCGTCTTCTCAAGCTTGGCTTTGTTTTTGCGCTCTTCCTGACCCATGACCATGTGACCCTGCGCGAGATATCCTTTAATTCGCAAACAATCCTGTTCGTAACGATCTCTTGTCTGCAACAACTTAGCATCCGGCGTATACTGCGCTTGATGTTAAAACGTATCTCAGCCTACCTTGTTGACGACATGGGTTTGCTGGATTTTAGTTTTAAGAAGGCGTTCGATACCATTCTGAATGATCTTTCTACGCTCTTTAGATCCTCCCGCAAAAGCGATCAGTGGCTCCTCCAGCTCTCTCTTCATCTGTGTAGAAATTGCTGCGTGGGCTTTCGCAATAGCTTCGGTTTCACCGCGGACCGTGTCAAACGAAGAACGCAGTGAGCCGATTTCAGTCGATCCAAGCGGTTTGCGGCAGAGGGCCAGAAGCTTTCGTGCATATTCATCTTCGATCGCGGCTC